CACACCCACACCCAGATAAAACGGCTAACTAAGATCGTAAACAATGATTCTTTGGAGAGACTGTTTATGTTCCGTCAGAAACAACAATCAGTCCGACTATCGCTTATGACTTAAAAATCCCTTCTTTGTGTGTCATAAATAGGTCAAAGTGCGGATATTATTGTTTATTTTTGAAATCCACTGACAGAGTTAATTTATTTATAAAACCTCAGAAAATATTATCAAATACGTTGAATATAGCGACATCTATTTTTTTTTAGAAAGTCCCAACAAAATCAATAAAGAAAGCATCTTCATTTGGTAAAGTAAGTTTTTAATAAAATAAAATTTGTAGGGATTTTTCAGGCTGTGATTTTTTAGATTAAATAACAAAAAAGATCATTTAGATCGAAACGATTTTATTATAATATTCTTACATCAACTGATCAGGATTACGTTATTTGTCCTTTTTGCGATGCTCTCGAGATGGTTTGTCGGGAACCAACCGTTTCTGGGCCGAATTGTTCGACCTGGGTAGATACATTAATTATGTACCCTAGTAGTAATCGATTTCTACTTGGCTTTTCAAAAATATCAATTCATCTATTGAAATTAAAGTTTTTAAAATAGAAAGTGATAATAAAATGGTTCCACCACCAGTTTATTATTATTTTCATTCAAACTTTGTTAGTTCAATTGAAGATCTCGTTATTAATACGTACTTTTCAGTTGAAACATTCTATGATGTACTTGGTGTAATGGATAAACTTCGTACTTTATCCATTGATTTGCTGACTGATTCAAATGACTGGTATGAAGCACCATCCAATCTTATCCTTCCGTCGTTTGAAAATCTAAAAAATTTGTATTAAGTTGAAGAAAACTGATTTTAACAAATTTCGAAATATTGTTAAAATTTTTTTTAAATTTGGCAAAATTTTATTTATATTTCAATTGACGATAATGATGAAGAATATTTATATGCAGAATTTGCGTATCTTTGGTATCTATCATAATGGTGTTCAACTACAAAATTAATTAGAATAGGATGAATTAATTTATGCATTCAGTTCATCATTTTGAATTCAGAAAAATTGGTTTTTCACATATCAACATGATTGTTTTCAATCTTTTAATATCAAAGATTTCCATTCAATTCATCCATACAGGTATAAAAAGATTGACTGGAAGTCTGTTTTTTTATGGCTCTTTTTTTATAGGAGAAAATACTACAAATGTCATTGGAAATCAAACAAAGAAATTCGGTCGAAAATGTTCTTATGTGTGATACTCTACCGAACACAAGTTGTGGGAATTATTTTAAAAATATCAATCAATTAACAATAAACGGTTGTCCGGAAATACCTCATGAATCCATGACGATGATTCCTGAAGCAATATTGCGTGCATTTCCGGCTGAAACCCACAGGAAACGTATCGTTTCTGACCAAAACTAGCAGGATAATATCAAGAATTCGACGCAGGAAGGGTGTGAGTGTTGTTCTTATCTCACACCCAGACCCAGATAACGGATGAACAGTATCATTTGAATACAAAAGACATAGAACATTTACTGATGGATATGATTAATGATAAACAATACTGCATACACTGTATTGAAAAGTATTCATCCATCAAAATCATTCGGCCAATGCTCATCACACAACAACGAAAACAAGAAGGAGATGAATTATGGAAATTTGTTCGAACAGTGTACAATACTCTTTCTATAATGAATATTATCACTATATTTATAGTATTTGGTGGTTCCAAAACATTGACCATTATTGCATTATTTAACGCATTACTTATATCCCACGTCAAAATCGTCGGAACACGGATGCAGTATTCCTATTGGTTCCTGTCGGAAATCACAGGAAACAGTTCAAAAATTATCGATTGGAATACTGCTTCTACTTTCGGTGATTACCGGTGCGTTCTTACATTATTCGATAGCCGTAATGTTCGACCTAGGTATATTTGTCGCTTTATGTTTCGCCATCTAAGGCTGTCATATTCGAAGGTTTTGTCCTCTTCAGACCATTAATTGGCATTAACACAACGATAATGGCAATAAACACTCGAATTCGATTTGCAAAAGAACCACTAATAATTTTTTCGTTATTGTAATGTCTAGTTACGCCAATGCTTTACAATCAAATATATCGAGTGTAATTGATTTTGGTGAAATAATAAATAATTATTTGAAATTTAAATAATGAAATTATACTATTATTGTTTTAGATGAGAAACTAAATTTCAGTAATTATTGTTTCTATTTGTAGAAAGCCCAACCCTAAGATCACATCATAAATCGAAAACTACAATATGATATTATTCATCGGTTTTATTTTGATTATTGTTACAATCAAGTATTTTTGGTGTTTTATCCTGTGATGCTAGATACTGACCATTTGTCTTTTCAATTCAATATGTATTGTGAAAATTTTTACATCAGTATTATTTACCCTTATACGTATATTTATACAGAAAGTGGTAACTTCATATCTCACGAGAGATGTTCATTAAAATTATATAAATATTGATAAATATGCATAAAACTCTCTCATTTGATTTTTTTTGTTATTATTGTGTATATTTGAATAGTTTGATGTAAATAGTATCCGTCCTTGTTCTACTTTAAATAAATGTAACAAGTAATGCGATACAACGTTTAACAAATTGCATGTCATTTCTCCTTAATGTAGAAGCAAGTTTATATATACAGAGGAAGATAATTTAATATTTTCATTCATAAAAAAAACAATTATTAACAATTCGAAAAAAAAGACAAGATGGAAAGCACCGTATTAAATGGCAAAAAAAAAGAATAAAACTTTTCAGGGAAGAAAAAGAAGAATAGTTTTTAATTTAAGTTTGCATTAGTTTTTGTCCATTAGTTCCTGTTGTTGTTGTTGAATGTTGAGTTTTACTAGGTGATATATGATGTGGTGATTCAGATGATTTAGCAAATGCTTGTCTTGTTGTACTTGCTGATGTTAAATTTCCATGTGAATGATAATTAATTACATTAGATTTATTAGTATTACTTGTATTTGATGTTGATGGATAAAATCTTAATGGTGGTGATTGTTGTTGAGTAGTAGGTGATACACTCTCAACATTTTTTGATGATTTACTACTAGAAGAACTAATACGAGAATGTAGAGCAGAATTTTTTAAGAATAAACCAATTGCTTTTACAGTTACTGATGGAGCTAAAAATAAATGAATGATAAATCAATATAAAATCATTTTTCTTTTTTTTTTATGTAACCATTGAAAATGAAAGTTTATTATTGTTGTTATTATTATTATTATTATTATTATTATGAAGTTTTATTTTTTCTTTTACTTTTTTACTTATCAATTTTGATTCGAAACAACTTGAATGGCTTTTTCTCTCTTTTAAAAAACATTGCAAAGTTAACGAAAAAAGTAATGAAAATAAACATTAATAAAAAATGTCGAAGAATATATTTTATGTAAAGAAGGACGATTTTTTCAAGAGCTTAAATGAAAATAAAGAAATTTAAACATACCAGGATTATATCGCACCGGAGAATGTTGTTGAGATCTTTTCATATGTTCAACATTTGACGCACGACTAAGAGGTTTTGGTGTACGAGTACCACTAGCTAATGGATCATGTGGCAAATGAAAACCATTTTGATTTGCATGATCAAGTGTGGAATTAGGTAAACTACGAGGTTTCATTTTATGTTGTTGCTGTTGATGTTGCTGTTGTTGTTGTTGTGGGTGTGCATGTGGAGATATGACATTACTACGGTGTCCAGTAACTAAAGGTTTCATTAGTGTTAAACCGCTCGAATTTTGCGTTCGTTTTATATTATTATGTTCATCTGTTAAATCAACACTATTTCCAATAGCTGATGGTTTTCTCATGATAATATCATGAAATAATTTTCTAGAAGTTGCCTTTGATGTCGGTACTAACTCGTTGTACGCTTCCTGTGTTAAACCACCCGTAATAATATTACCATTTGTATTCGTATGTAATATAACATGTTCATCAAATCCATAATTAGATTTATCACGCGATAATCGTCGTCCATTTGTTGGTATTGAATTTGTTTGTTGAGGTAAAAGATGCGATGGTACACGACGACCAGGAAGTAATGGTTCATTATGAACAAGTTTATCAAGTACAATAACATCTGGTGAACCATCATGTAAAATAGCATCACCTGTTGTTGATAATGATGAATGAATATTGATAGTATGATTATATGTAGGATCTGGCCAACTTAAACCTTGTTTAAGACGTCTTTCGATTAAATTATATAGAGCACGAGATGCAATTGGTTTTCGATATATTACAGCATCCTCAACATCATGTTCTGAATATCCATGTCTAACATAAGAAGAAGAAATGAAGTTGTTTATTTCTAAATTTTTATTCTATATACTTACTTAATTGCAAGATATTTAGTTATATTTCGATTAATTTCTCTTGCATCAGCTTGTGGTTTATAAGGCATTAATTCAATAGGTCCTAATTGACTGATTAAAAATGGATGACGAAGAATTTCTGCCATTGTTATTCGTTTTGTAGGTGATGGTTCTAATAATCTTGTTAATAAATCTTGACAATCTGAACAAAATAAATACAATTTAATACAATAGAAACTATATAATGATATTTTTCATTACCACGTGAAAGTGTAGTAGGTATTTCACATCCTTTCAATATACATGCATGAAGTTTAGCAAGATTTCGACTACGATGTTCAACTTTAAATGGAAGTTTACCAAGTAGCATAGCATACATATTCACACCGATACTCCATACATCAACTGCTGGACCATATTCTTGATGAGCAAAAATCTCTGGAGCTGCATAACTATATATAGATATCGATATTAAAGAAATATTTTTCATTATTTTTGACAAAAAAACTTACGCAGGTGAACCACATTGAGTAGTTAAAAAACCTTTTTCATCAAGACAATTACTAAGACCAAAATCTATTCAAAAAAAATTAAAGTTCATTATTTAAGAAAAGTAAAATATATATTACCAATAATAATAATATCATTATTTTGATCGAGCATAAAATTTTGAAGTTTTATATCACGATGAATAACACGTGCTCGATGCATATGATCAACAGCAGAAACAATTTGTCGAATATATTTTCTTGTTTCAAGTTCATCTAATTGTTTTCTACGAAAAATTATTGTTTATTTTAAAATAAATATATTTTAAAAAATTTCTTTATTTTACTTCTTTGTTAAATATTTAACAAATTCATTTCCTTGTACTAAATCCATAACAATATAATAGGAATTTTCTGTTTCCATAACTTCATGTAGTTGTACTATATTTTTATGTGACATACGTTGCATCATAGATGCTTCACGACGTAAATTAGCTCGTAAATAATTTCTTTTAAATACTTCACGCTTATTAATAACTTTTACTGCAACCTAATGGAAAACATAAGTGATGAAAAGTATCTCTTAGATGAGTTATATTTACTCTCATTTCTGTGATTAGATGAACACCCAATCGTACTTTTGCAAAACTACCTTCTCCAATTGTTTTTAAGATAACATAATTTCCAACTTTTTTTCGTTTTTCATCTGATGATAAATCACCAGTTGCAGTTGTTGAGGCTTTATCAGGTGTTGTAGCTGTATTTAAATCTTGCACCATATTTATAATATTAAATAGAACATAAATTCTTTGAAGAATTAATTAAATTTGCAGATAAACCTTAAAAACCAAGGATAGATTGTAAAATATGATCTATTATTTTGTTTGTTATCTATAATAATAACCTGACGGAAAATGATGTCGAGAAAAATGCAAGCGAACATAAGGAAATGGATGCATAGAGGTGAAAATAAGTGTTTCCTGAATATGTCAACCTTCGTTATTTATATTTGCAAGGTTTTTCTAATTATCATATTTAAATATATACAGATACACGCACATATATTGACAACGAAGTTTCTCAGATTAAATGAAATAGCTATAATCAAAACAAAAATATATAAAGTATGAATAGAAAAAACTTAAATTAATGAACGAAAAATTTTTACTCAGTCAATTTCTTTTCTATTTTTTTTTGTAGAGAACCTATTAATTACATATCAACCTATTATTTAATTCGTTACATAATCTATTGGTAGTCTTTTATTAGAACAAACATTTTTGGTTGAGATGGTGACGATATATAAAATAAGTCAGGAAGATCGTGTCATATGTTATTACCATTATTATTATTATTATTAGCGGAAGAGTTTTGCGTGCCTATGTGAAATGTATTTGTATATGTATGTATGTATGTTTGAAATCGCAGAAAAAGAATAGAGTGAAAAAAAGGACGACAACGACCAGCGATGTTGGCAGTAGAATTGAATGACTTCTCACATGCTAGAATTCATCGTCAACATACAAACATAACGGCAGTAACAGAAAAAGACGACAAAAGAAGAAGGAGTAAAAGATGCGAGTATTCACCGCTATTGAGTGTTGATTTTCACTCTTCTCTTTGCAATCGATCACTCATTCTTATGCTGCTCATAGTTGAGCTTCTTGCTACTTTTTTTCTTATGATCAATTGAGTTCTTATCGTATAGAATGTATAAGAACGATTTGTACAGCAGATGACGACAGAATGCAAAAGAAAAGAAAAAAAAGAAATCAAGCGTCTATTTGAACACTCTTAGTCCTAATAATATTCAATAGAGAACAAAAGAGCGAAGTGCGACAGAAGAGACCAACGTAAAACAATGTGTCTATGTAATCGAATTAAATTGAAATAGAAAACAATCTACAATTATTATTATAATCATTGTTAATGATTGTATTCTAAAAAAAGAAAAATCATATGAATATGCACGTCGAGTTTTTCTTCTCTTTGTCAACTTTTGATAAACAACATAGTAAATAATGTAACTCTAATTGAACTTATTTTGTTATGCACATCAATTTCTCGAGAAAGAATGTTATTGAACAGGGATATATTGCTTAAGATCTATACATAAGAAGGAGAACTTATGTAAGAAAAGCGTATCTAATCGATATGAAAATATGCACCTGTTGCTTTTAATTTCTAACATCGCATAATTTTCTTTTCTTATGTACTTAAATTCCTTGACGAATCTTGAAAATTATGCATATTAAACAAATGAAGAAAAAAAGAAAGAAAAAAAAAGAAATGTTCGATTCCGAAAAGTATTAACTTTACGTACACAATAAGTACTTACAAAAGATTTGCTTTTGCAAACTACGAACGTTTGTTTATTTGGCTCTTGTTTTAAGCTTGAAAGATAATAAATTCTCTCACTGTTTTCATCTTTCTTTCTTCCATTTTATTTATATTATTCTTTGTTCTTAATAATAGTGCAAACAATGCATATATACATATATACATATATTCGTAACAACCAGCAGAAATATTTTTAGTATTAAACTGAGAATTTTAATAAAAATATAATCTTAATCGAATTTAATATTTAAATATAGTTGATTGATTCTTACCGTTTTCATAATATGAACATATTTACAATGTGTACATATATTTAATGCATAAGTAAATGCGCCTAAATTCTTGTTAGACTCGATAAATAAAAGCTAGTTCACTTATTCTCTCCTACTCTTATCCATTCCTACAAAGCGGAGGAGGGAAAGAGACAGAGAGAGAGAGAGAGAGAGAGAGACAGAAGTAGAGAAAAAAAATGACGTAGTGAGATGAACAAACAAATAAATCGAACATGATCGAACGAACAAGCGTATGTGCAACATTGTACAGAACACTTTAACCACTAGTATTCAAGGAGTAATCTCTTTCGCATCAACTACTGTATACATAACATAATCACTCTTTCGGTTTTTTTTCCTTCTTGTACTATCGGTGATATGAACGATAATTGATCAATAAGAATGTGTATGTGTGTGTGAACAGTCTAAATAAACAGACTGACTATTAACGAAAAACTTGTTGATTTTAACGAATGTCATTTTTATAGAGATATATCAAATGTTACAGATAGAGAGAGAGAGAAAAAAAATCTCATGAAAAAAAAACTAATGATTATGTTAAATAGATATATATAGAGAAAAAAAAACAAATAATGTCAATCATTTACATTGACTGTATTTATTTTAATTAACTATATGATTCATTATTACTTTTATAGAAATTATCAATATTAAAAAATATATTATTACTTACGATTAAAGAAAGAAAATGAAATGAAAGACGAAATTTTTTTTTAATCTGAAAAGAAAATGAGAGAAAAAGAACATTTTATTAAGAAATTTTTTTTCTATTACATAGTGCATCTATCAAATTTTATGTGGTTTCTTTTCGATTACTCAAAAAATTCAATGGTAACTTGTTTCGATCTTGATCTTTATTCAAAGATTTTTTTTTTATTTATTTTCTAATCGTTTAACATAATCAATAATAAGCCAACTTACTATTCACTAATTATAATACATTGATAATAAAATAAAGATAGAATAATTTTAAATTGTTAAGTATAGTTAAAATTATAGGAAGTAGTTTTTAGAAGTTTACCCTTATTTTATTATACTGATATTATAATATATCGTCATCAAAATATTTTAAAAGAAAAAAATGACTTAGAAAAATCTTATATTTGTCCTGTCATAAGCTATTTCAGATAAATAGATAATAAAATATGACATTCATCCTGATCACTATCACATTCAATAACAATCAATCGTATTAACGATGCTAATGGATGTACTACTTTCAGTTGACTTATTTCCATATTGGTTAAATATAAACTTTATATATTTGTCATCGCCCTAGTATGCGAATCACAAAAATGTGTCTACCAGAACAAAATATTTTAGTGCATAATAACTCGATGTTGTCACTTAACAACATCCAATCATTATGAGTGAAAATTTATCAGACTTCATTGTTCGTTTTGGGATATCAGAGCATAACAGCTTGTGATTCTTTTATTTGCTTATTAAAGTCAACAAAAGAAAAGTGTATGGATAAAAGCATAAGGAGAGGTCATGGTGATAGTGAGAATTATAACGATGAGAAGAGTAAAACAACTGTCACTTTCATGCTCATCCTTATTTCACATCCCTAAGATATACAGACGATCTTCACACGTTCTTTACCTTCAACTACGTTTTACTATCATTCCTAATCTCATTCATATACTTTTGTTTACAGTAACAGTTATAAATAAACCCTTATGAATCCATGAATGCCCAATAAAATATGCTTGAATAATTATTGAGTTACTGAAAAAAAAGCTTTATCACTACAAATCAATTCTAGGCAAAATATAGGTTCAGTAGTAAAAAAATAGTAATATTCAACCGGAAAAAAGTCGATAAGTCTATTCATTATAAAGATAATAGATTGGGAGAGGAAATCGAAAAGATAATGTAGGTCACTAAAAATTATAAAATATTTAGTTATTATTGGCGTTTTGAACTATCGATCAACCTATAGTTTATTAAACAAAACCACACTTTTGATCAGTTATACTAATAATATAGTCTTTAGATCTTACTTTTTATCAGTCAAAAATTATTCGAATAGCTAAGTCGTCATTGATTGATCACATGAGTATTATTAACGACGAAAATATTTCAGTTTATCAATTGAAGTATATAAAAAATAATATTTTTGTTTTATTTCAAAAAAAACAAAAGACAAGCGTCATGACGATAATATTGAATACATTTTTATATTTGTTTTTCACCTTCAATATTTAATTCGTTTATTTTCTTTTTCAATTGTCATAAAATCAACGATATTCAAGAACATAAAAGAATTTTCTATAAATATTTTCTTTCAATTACATGATGCACATAAAAAGAATTTGATCTTTTGTAGCTAAATTGCAATAATTATCAATTAGTGAAAGATTTCTTTCCTTGTGATTTATATATTTTAGGATTTTTTTCATAATAGAAATTGTTTAGGATTCAAACATGTATGTCTCATATATTTGCACTTATACACAAATTATCTAATTTAAGAAGAAGAATATAATATACAGAACACCAACTGAGCAGACTATATTGTTTTATTAATTTTCTATAACATAGATATTTTCTATGATGTATATGCACAACATGAGTAATGAACAATATAAGTTTGATGAGTGTAAAAGAACAGTTTTATATTATCTATACTTAAATTTACTCATAGAAAAAAAACGAGAGCATCTTTTGAGTATAAAATCTTAGTAATTTTCTTAAAAGCAACATTACTAGACGAGATGCCTACTAATACAACTAACCTTATTGCATATTTACAGAATGCATCAACACAATCAAATCGTTATATTTCAATATTTATTTTTATTTTTGGTGTTCTTGGTAATATTCTTAATTGTATTGTTTTATCACAAGGTAAACTTCGAACAAATTCATGTTCATTTTTATTTTTAATATCATCTATTGCAAGTTTAATTTCGATTCTTTCCGGTTTAACAAGTCGAATGTTAGCAGGATATGCTGTAGATTTAACAAATACTATTAGTTGGCTCTGTAAACTTCGAGCATTTGTTTTATTTGTATCACGAACTATTGCAGCATGGTCATTAACATTTGCAAGTATTGATCGATGGTTTTCATCATCAGCTAATAGTGAATATCGAAAAAAAAGTTCATTAAAAAATTCCTATCGCAATATGTATATTATT